AATTTATCGTAAAAACGTTTCTATGAGCAACACAATAAAACAAATACAAAAGTCAAACCTATAAAATAAAATTGTTTTTTTAGTAAATTTCGGCGACATTATTAAGACTCTTATAAATATATATACAAAGTTTATATACAAAAGTGCTCTTTTAGTTCCACCCTTACTTCTTAAGAAGTCCTATAAGCCAACTGAATGGCTTGTGCGGGTTAGGGGTAGGAACGGACCGCGGGCTTAAAGTCCCCTCCGAAGGACTAATACACAATAGGACAAACACAAATAAACAGCCATACCCCTGGTGGGATTCGAACCCACGACCTCCGGCTTGTAGTCAGCAGCACTAACCACTAGACCACCGTCGTTTATATTCGCATTTCATAGATTTAATAAAACAATTATATTAGTATCAATGAGAATTATTTCGTTTCTTCAAGTAAAGTGTTTCCCTAGTATTAAATATAAAACTGCTTTATATTATGTTATTTGGGTTACAATATAAAAGCAATAACAAAGTTCTTATAAAACTAAATTGTTTTCATAGTTATCATTTTGATATCGCTAACTACAATAAAACAAATTTATATTGAATTAGCTGATGTGGAGTACATAATTTTCATTTGTTCAGTGTGTTCATTGTTTCAGAAATAAAAATGTCGCAATGATCGCAGTGGAAAAAAAATAAAAAAATTGACGCATTTCGCAAAAGATTAAATATAAATATATATATATATATATATAAAAAGTGATCACTTTCGACAATGATAAAACGGATAATTTAAACATAAAGCAGGAATTTACCAATTTTAACAGTGCTTCAGACCTCACAAGTGTCAGTACTAGTAAAATTTTACTGTTTTATTAGAGTCGCCAAAAAGTCGCGAGTTAGCAAAAAAGTTGCCAGTTAGCAATATAAGAAGCAAATAAGCAAATAAGAGTACCAACAAATATGTTTTATTACAGTTGCCAAAAAGTGTCAGTACTAGTAACATTTTACTGTTTTATTAAATTCGCCAAAAAGTCGCAAGTTAGCAAAAAAGTTGCCAGTTAGCAATATAGGCACTCTTATTTGCTCGGCAATGACCGTATAAAAGTCGCGTGTGGTATTAAAATGTATCAATGGCAACAAATATGTTTGCCAGTTAGCAATATAAGAAGCAAATAAGCAAATAAGAGTACCAACAAATATGTTTTATTACAGTTGCCAAAAAGTATCAGTACTAGTAACATTTTACTGTTTTATTAGAGTCGCCAAAAAGTAGCGAGTTAGCAAAAAAGTTGCCAGTTAGCAATATAGGCACTCTTATTTGCTCGGCAATGACCGTATAAAAGTCGCGTGGTGTTAAAATGTATCAATGGGAACAAATATGATTTATTAGAGTCGCCAAAAAGTCGCGAGGAAGCAAAAAAGTTGCCATTTAGCAATATAGGCTCTCTTATTACTATAAAAAAAGACAGCGTTTTTTTCACCATGTTTCGTTTTTTTTTTAAATATTTTGAAGAGGCGCTGCCTATACTGCCCTGGTATTATAACGTTTTTCGAATTTTTAAAAATAATTTTATGCTCGCGTATATAGCTATAAAGTACACTGAGAGAAAAAATGTTGTAGAATCATTTAAAACGATAATTATCGTATAATAATTATAATAATTCAAAGGGATTCAAATATGTTTTGGCGTCATTGGTGTGTCCCATTAAATTAATAGGTGTATAACAATTTTATAATACATATCTTTTTGAAACAACGTTGAGAAAGGCAATGAAATAAATAGATTTCTTTTTGTATATATATTTTAAAGAGGGTACACTTTAAAAGTGTTTAAAAGTATTGTAAAACTGTTGGTAAATGAATAGTTTTTATTCACACTACGAACAGTTAAAAACGTTACACTATTAAATTTCATTTGCTTTTGGTTTCAAACCATTCCCTTTTGCACTGCGTTATTTTATAACACAATACACTCAGAGAAATATCATGCCATGAAAAGCATATAAAATTATATTAATTTAAATACTCGGGTAAATTTGATTTAAATAGAAAAATTCGTAGTTTTATATTCATTTACCAACAGTTTTACAATACTTTTAAACACTTTTAAAGTGTACCCTCTTTAAAATATATATACAAAAAGAAATCTATTTATTTCATTGCCTTTCTCAACGTTGTTTCAAAAAGATATTAAAAACACGCACTGGTTAATTAACGAACTATTTATTTAATAACTTAACTTAACTATAACACTATAAAACTATAAAACTAACTAAACACTTAACTACTAATTATTTATATATCACTACTGTTCAAGTCTATTTATTTGCACTTATATTTATTTATTTCTTCGCGAGTACCAAATCTCAACTGCCTGCTTTATGCTGCTCCGTTCCTTATATTATCAGCGCCTACGTCTTCTGGAACATTCCAGCGAGCTCCACACTCTCGATTGTTCGAGCGCTGACTCACCAGCGATGACTCACCGGCGATGACTCATCGGCGATGAGTCATCACTCCGATATCCAGAGCCGTACCCGCTACATTGCCCCCGTCTTAAAACATTTTCGTCCCGAAAATGGTCCTCAGCTCCATGGCGATATTTGCATAGAGATCCAAACTTGCATTGTGACGTCCTATACTGCCGTGCTTAATGAAAACGCCGTAACCAACAATTTTGCGATTTTTGTTTTACGGCATTTTCTACTAGAACAATTCATCCTGTGTCTATCCCCTGTACTCAAAAAACCGTATATATATTGATACGGGTTTTTGAGTACCGGGGATAGACGCAGGATGAATTGTTCTAGTAGAAAATGCCGTAAAACAAAAATGGCAAAATTGTTGGTTACGGCGTTTTCATTAAGCACGGCAGTATAGAAGTAGCAGTCTACGGTCTTCCTTCCGGTTGTTCTTTTAGGGTTGTGGCAACAGACAAGAATGTGTATGCCACTAAATCTGAAGATAACTTCCACCATACTTCTAATTATTCTCCAGTCTAAGCCGTCAAGTCCACAAGCAATCTTCGGTATCGCCAGGTTCATGATGTCCTTGGAGAAAAGGATATCCCTCAATTTATTTAAGGCATTCCATACGTCACGGTAGTTTGGCTTCTGATTGGAGAGTTGCTTCGTTACCAGATAGAAGATACTTCGGTTGCCTATCTGCTCATTATCCACAATTTCAAGCACCTCTCCAACTTTGGGTCTCTGCCTTCGTAGCTCGTCGACCCGTCCAAACTTGTTTTTAAAGACAACCGCTATTCCCCTGGACATCCTAAGATCTTCCGCAACACAGTGAGCCAAGGAGTAATCGGCCGAAACCGTGAACAGATCTTTTTGCTCTTCTCGAGTGACACCATACCGAGCTTTTTTACTGCTCGAATATAAATACATGAAGTCTTCAAAAGGCAAGTCGTCTTCTGGCGGATTAACTCTCTTTACTCTAGCATCGTCTATTTGATCATTGTTTCCAGCCTAAGGGGCCAATCGGTTGAAATGGATCACTTTCGGCTTTCCTCTTGGTTGTTTCCTGATCCTGTAGATGATGTCATTTATTCGATCCATGACTTCGTATGGTCCCTCCCAAGAAGTCTGCAGCTTCGGTGAATAACCACGACGGCGCTGAGGGTTGTATAACCAAACTAGGTCTCCAGGTTGAAATCCTATTTTTTTTAATAAAGAAAATGATAGTCTAGAAAGTTAAAATAATAGTTACGTGTTCTATTGTATAAGTACTTGATACCTGAAAAAAGCAACTTTCTAGATTTAGCAGAATAGGCACAGGAGCCAGAAAAAAATCACAAAAATTGGCAAATTATTACAAATTTTTAGTGGTTTACCATTCCTCTATGAGATGAACTAATTAGATAATAATAATTAATATTGAAAACATACTTACTAGGCAGAAAAATAAAATTACAATCATTTCAATAATTGCCACAGAAAAAAGTTTTAGCCTCTTATAAGAGAGTAAGAAAATGACACGATTTCAGGTTTCTAAAGGGTGCCGATTAAAAATAAAGCAACTAAAAATTAAAACGGCAACGGTTTTTCATATATGATACCTAAAAGATCATTCTCAAATTTTTTCAATAAAATAAAAAATCATGCAGCGCACTTTTAAATTCATTTTTGGTGTTTTCATTTGGATTTTTTTTCTTTTTTGAATAATACAAGTGTTTCAACGATATACGAGGTGTTATGATATATCTGAAGTTTAAAACGTTTTTTAAACGAAATATTAAATATATATAAATAAATAAAGTTAATATCATAAAAGTGTATTCTTTAACATGTTAGGTGTAATAATTCACACATATTTCAATGAACCACTATTATAAGGTTGATAAAACATGGCATAATTTCAGATGTCAAATGAACAAGCCCCGGACACAGTTATTTCTGAAACATGCACTTAAGTGATTCTAGACTCGACGATGTGTTTTCCGAAGCAGAGAAAAGTTTAAATATCAAATTCCCAGACTATCTAAAAAATCTTTTAATAATTGCTGGATTCGAAGAAAGAAATTTGATCGCGGCTATGAAGAAAAAACCATCGAAGAAGTGGAAACATTCAACTATTATTAGCCATACAGATACCATTAAATATTTTAAATCAACATTCATCAACCCAATAAATTAAATTTGTTATCGGACACAAAAAAATGCTGAACCTATTGATAAATTTTTGTAATAAACAAGTAAATCTTTTAAAAAAAGGAAACCCAAAAACTGAACAAACAAAGGGCCAAAATAATATAGGCAAAACTAGCGTGAAAATTGATGGAAGAAACAATCCAAAAAATACCCCCTCTGTAGATCTCACTGCCGAAAACAAACACATATAGAGGTGTCCTCTGAGTCACTCCTGAATAAATCTAAATTTAAGAAAATAACTTCATTTCTTAAACCAAGTCCAAAGCCCAACACATCCAAAGTCATCTCGTCGAAGATCATTTCTAGTCCTAACCCAAAGCCCAGCACATCTAAAGTCATCTCTAGCCCTATCCAGAGGACAGTACGTCGAAGATCATTTCTAGTCCTTATCCAAAGCCCAGCACATCCAAAGTCATTTCTAGTACTGTTCCAAAGCCCAGCACGTCTAAAATTATTGTGCTACAAAACGTCACAATCCCTCGAAATGATTCTAATCTACATTCGAATTCATGCTCAACAGAAAACATACCGTATACTGAGCGCGAGTTGGAGACGGAAAACTATGAACATGACAGTCTAGGAGAACACTTTCTACAAGGCGTTTCACTAATTCCTCAACAATCAAATGAATCTAGCCCACCTGCTAATCCATCTAAATCCAAATGGTCATCTTTTAAATATAGCAGAGCAGAAAGAAATCGTCGTGCAAGAGAGCGCAGTCAGAAAAATCAAACTCCGATAACAAATTTTTTTGAAAAATTCAATGAATTGTGCGACATTATTAAAAAAGTTCCTGAGGTAACAGATAAAATAATTGCATGCAGTATTCAACATCATAATTGTTGTAGTGAAGATTTTTCAAATACTGAAGAAAAGAATAAATATTTATCAAAATTTTTAGAACGTCTATTAAGAAATAGCAAAGAAAATGCTGAGCGATCCAACAATAACAATAAATTTGACGAAAATACAAAAAGAATCTGTGTGTACTTATATTATGTTGGTGGCAGACTACTATATGAAACAATTTATTCCAACTTAAAAAGTAGCGTCCCATCCATTTCAACATTGAATAGACATTTCGAAACAACAAAAGAAGTTATAGAAGAAGGAAATTTGGATTTTCGTGGCTTAAAAACTTTTTTGGAAGAAAGAAGCTTGCCAAAATTTATATGGATTTCCGAAGATGCTACTCGGATTAAAAGTAAAATCGAGTTTGATTCAAAAACGAATAGAGTCATGGGGTTTGTACTGCCGTTGATAAATGGTTGCCCAATAAAGATCAGTTTCTTGCAACTTCACCAGAAGTGATTCAAAAATACTTTAAAACTCAAACGAAGGCTACTTACGCTCATATAATGATGGCGCAGCCATTAACACTTGCAGCACCTTCATACTGTTTAGTAGTTATAGGAACAAGAAGCGACTTGAAAGCAGAAGATAAAATGAATTTTGGATCTGCACTAAGAATGTGTTCTTCTTTAGTGTTAAATTGTCTAGAATTTATAGATGGCTCGAAGGCCACTGCAATATATCTAAAAATTATGAATTATCTTTTATCATCGTTTCTGGACTCAAAACTTCCTTTATATTGTAACGAACAGGGGCAACGGGGCACATTTAAATAATTAAAAACGAATATTAAAACCACAAAAAAACAACCTTTGGCCAAAACACGTGATCGTCTAGTTTAAAGAAATTAATTTAGGACCCCTTTTTGTTGTGAATACGGTTCTGGATACGTAAGTACTTGAGCAATTGAAAAGATATTTAAAAATCAAAGAAAAAGTATTAAATTAAGATAAGTTTATTAATATAAAACAATTGTATAAATTTTTTTAAAGTTAATATTATTGCTACTGGACATTAATAATATAAATAAAACATTTATATTTGAAAAGTATTATAGATTTAAGTTAATAAGGTAAAACCTTAAAAACCCACATATACAATCCAGACATGCACATGTGTCGCACATCTATACAATATAAATAATATAACAAAATCAAAGTAATCAAGTAATCAAATATAATATCATCAATCATATTATCATATTGCTAAGATTATTCACCTACATAAATGCTAGGCTCGGACGGTGTTTAAATAGCAAATACAAATTGAAACTATTATCAATAAACAGCAACAAACAAAAACAATGTGTAAAATAAATTATAACGTAACTTAAGTCACAGAGAACATAATAAATAGTAGTGGTAAATAAAATATATAAATAACAAGTGGTATAGCGGTGGACAACCATAATGCAATAAAATAAAAAGCAGATATAATAAATTAATAAAAGTATATCAAGTCAAATTAAAGATGGTAAAATAAATTGATTATCAATAATAATAAAAATAAGACAATGCAACAAAACTCTCACATCAATACCTGAAATAAAACATACACATAAATAGCAGTTCATTGTTAATAAATTAAGGGTAAGAACAATCAGTGCGCTTTTCTATAGAAAGCAGATCCACCGGTCTCCCCAAAACCACCAACAAAAACAAATAAATTAAAACAAAGTCTAAACATATTATATAAAGGATATCAATTTATCCAATAAACAAAATAAGGTAAACTGTACAAAACAAAGTATGTTAAAGTTAAATAGAAATATGTAATAACATGATACATAATAATAATAATAATAATAATAATAATAATAATAATAATAATAATTTATTTGCCCAACAGAACAATACATTCCAATAATAGGACAAAAATATACAATTATATGCAAATAGAGAACCTTAGGTTTCAAATATATCTTTAGCAATAGCTAATAAATAATTTAAGCTATTCAAAAACAAATCACATGAATGGCTTATTAAATTGTAATTGTTAGTTATAACATGAACTGGTGAGTAAGCTAACATTGCAGTACGAGCATTATTGCAATAAAACATATTACTATTACGAGAATTAAGTCTGGGAACATGTAGATTAAACATAAATAAGATATTAGAACAGTCAATCTCGTTGTGAAAAACTTTGTACAAAAATTTTAAACCAGAACATACTCTTCGAAAATGCAGCGAATCAACATTAAATCTTTCAAGTAATAATTGATGATCAATGCCCCTGTTTGGGTACACATTATCCAGCCTGAATGCCAGAAGTTTTAAAAACTTTCGTTGAACATTTTCAAGTAACTGAGTTGTTATAGTGCGGAGACCAAATAATAGAGCAGTATTCAATTTTAGATCTTACTAGACAGAAGTATAAGGATTTTAAATCGATTTCAGTTTTAAATTCTCTCGAATTTGTGCTAATAAAACCTAATAATTTAAATGCTTGGGAAACTAAATTTTGTATATGACTCGAGAATGTTAATTTATTATCAAATAATACGCCAAGATCATTAACACTTTCACAAAAAGAAAGAACATTATTGTTTAAAGAGTATTGGTAAGTTATCAAATCATTCTTAAGGGAAAAAGTACAAGTTTTGCATTTAGAAATGTTCAAAACTAGCTTGTTCAATTTGCACCAAAGATGTACCACATTCAGATGATTCTGCAGTAAAATGCAATCTTCAACCGTTGTAATTCTAGCAAACAACTTTAAATCATCGGCAAATAGGAGATGTTTACAGTTTAACAAAGACGACAAATCATTAATAAATATATTAAACAGCAAAGGACCCAAATTTGATCCCTGAGGGACTCCAGACGTAGGAACAAAGCAACTAGACCGAAAACCATTAAAAAATACGTAAAGTTGGCGGTTACTAATGTAAGAGCGAATAAGATTACATAACGGTTTACTTAGACCAATAGAATCAGGTTGACAAAGTAAGATTGTATGATCAACTTTATCAAACGCCTTAGAGAAGTCAGTATAAATTACATCCACTTGGCCCTTTTGATCCAAAACATTGGAAGTATATTGAGTAAAATCAAACAAGTTAGTAACTGTCGACCGTTTATGAATAAAACCATGCTGATAGGGTGAGATGCTCTGGGACATACCATTGTAGATGTAAAAATATAATGACTTCTCAAAAAGCTTCGACAAGTTGGACAAAATCGCAATGGGTCTATAATTACCAATGTCATGATAATTGCCCGCTTTAAAGATAGGAGTGACACGAGTAACTTTCCATAATGAAGGAAATTTGGAAGTTTTTAATATTATATTAAAAATAGTAAGAAGAGGCGAAACTAACAGATTATGGCAATCTTTAATGAAGAAACTGGGAATTTGATCATGACCACGGGATGAGTTATTTTTAAGAGATGAAATCGCTTTTTTTATATCATTTTCTTGAAAACAATTTAGGTGAATATGGCTTGAACTATTATTACTAGTATTTATAGTTACAATATTGTTGTCAGAAATCTCATAAACACTTTTAAAGAAGTTGGCAAAACCATCAACTATATCTTCAGAAGACTCATATTCATCATTTTCAAAAAACATATGAGATGGAATTCGCGAGCCCCCTTTCTTTGATTGTATAAAGTGCCAAAAACTCTTAGGATCTGATTTAAAGCCAGGTTCAACTTTAGTAAGATATGTATTATAGGCTACTCTTACTTGTTTTTTTATATATTTTCTTAATCTTTTATAATCATCCAATGCAGACATGTTTTTAGTACGTTTAAATTTACTATGATAGTGTTTTTTTAATTTAATGTTATTGATTAATTCAGCTGTATACCATGATGGGTATATCCGTTTAAAACTATTATACAAAGGAACAAATTGATCAAATAATGAGTAAATAATTTTGTAAAATTCATCAACAGCATAATTAGGGTCAGTAAGGTCCCCAAGAAAATCCCAATTAACTTTACGAAGTGCTTCGTACAGTCCGAGAAAATTAGCTTTTTTGAAGTTATATGATTTATCTAAGCATATTTGGAAATCTTTGAGACCTTTCAGAGCCCACTTCAATATTAATTAGTAAAGTGGGATGATACTCATCTTCAGGTACAATAGGCAAAAACTCCCTAGTTACATCACATGATAAGTTGGAAATGCACAAATCAAGCAGTTTATTATTACTGTTTAGTATGTTGTTATACTGAGCGAACAAATTTATTTGCATAAAATTTGTAATCATGCTAGTTTTAAAGTCATTTAGATTACTACATACAAAATTAGAAGCATTTAAATCCCCCAGTATAACCACATTTACAACATCAACAACAGTAGTCTCAAATAATTCAAAAAATGACTCAAATTCAGCAAAGCTTACTTGCGGGGGAATGTATATATTGTACAAATGCAAACTTACTAACTTAGACTTAATCTTACGACCCAAAATATCTATGATTGGGACTAGATTATAATAATAAATAATAATAATAATCTTTATTTCCCAACAGATTAACAATCCAATTACAGGAAAATTTACAAATAAAAATTAATATACCTAATAGTAATATAAATATTCTAATGTAAATTTAGGAATCCAAACTTAATTACTAAAGGTTCTTATTAACAAAATATAAATTCCAATAGCAACAAAAAAAAACAATTATTCACTAAATTATTAAATTAAATGTTCTTTGACGCAGTTAATAATAAAATTAATACTGTCAAAATTAATATCACATTTTTCAGACACTTTATTAAAATTATCACAAATAATATATAGTGGGGATCTAAGCATAATGTTTGTTTTGCATGGTGGTAAATAAAATGTTTTATGCATCCTTGCTGACAGTCTTGGAATTAAAAGGTTTAACATAGATAAAAGACACATGCAATCAATCCTATTCTGAACCAGCATGCTCACAAACCTTATGGAGCAGATTACCCTCCTACTCTCCAGACTGATAAAACCAAACATATCCAGTAAAACATCATTATTAAATCCCCTCTCAGGATAAATTCCTTGAGTTTTAAAGTAAATAAATTTTAAGAATTTTCGCTGGACATTTTCAATTTTTATCTTGTATGTGTTGTACAAAGGGTGCCAAACAAGTGAGCCGTATTCAAGTTTTGAAACAACATAGGACCTATAGAGTGTTTTAAGTGCAAGACAATTACTAAAACCACTGCAGTTGCGAATTATAAATCCTGCCATACGATATGCAGAGCTACAAATATTCTTAATGTGAATATCAAACAAGAACTTTTGATCAAAATGGATACCCAAGTCCTTAACCTCTATTTTTCTTTTAATGTTTAAATTTCGAAGGGTATAGTCAAACTCTATTATCTCCTTTTTCCGGCTAAAACTTATAATCTGGCATTTGTCAACATTTAAATACAAAAAATTCTGCTGACACCAGGTATCCAATTTTACCAATTGCTCCTGAATAAAGTTACAATCTTCCTGGGTTGCTATAGAGCTAAACAATTTGAGATCATCGGCAAACATAAGTTTTTCACAATCAATGTTGTCCACAATATCATTTACAAACAGGAGAAAAAGTAATGGACCCAAATTTGATCCCTGAGGAACTCCGGAAGTAGCAAAAAACCTCGTTGACAAATATCCATTGTAAGTAACATATTGTTCTCTACCTTTTAAATATGACTTAAAAAAAACATATTAAATTTTCAGTAAGTCCAAATGTCCTTAGCTTACTCAATACAACTCGATGGTCAATTCTGTCAAAAGCCTTCGCGAAATCAGTATACACGACATCAACCTGCCCTTGATTGTCAAGAATATTACAAATATATTGTGAAAAACAGGTTAAATTTGTAACTGTAGAACGCGAACTTACAAATCCATGTTGATATGGAGTTATAAGATTGCATACATGGGAGTAGACATGCTATATGCTGACATCTCAAAAACCTTCGAAAAATTATTTAAAATTGCAATTGGCCTATAGTTCCGAATTTGGCTTGGGTCTCCATTTTTTAGAACCGGACATATCCTAGCAGTTTTCCAAATGTCTGGGAAAGTTGAGCTATTCAAAGATAGGTTAAACAATTTTAGTAGTGGTTTAAGAAATATGTGTTTACAGTCTTTTACTAGGTAACTAGGTATTTGATCTAGACCTGAAGTTTTTTTATTTGCTAATTTATTAATTGATTTCAATATGTCATTTTCATTAATTATAATTTTATTTAAATGGGAAGCATTATCATAAAAAGTTAAATCTATATAATCATTTGTTGGCTCTGTATACACACAACTAAAATAGGTTTTGAATGCTTCGACAATTTGTTCAGGAACATTAAATTGTGCGTCGCCATTGCACATAACACCCGGAATACGGGTCATCCCTTTTTTAGTTCTTAGGTAGTTCCAAAACTTGTCAGGCTCTAGTATGACAGAATTTTGAACATTTAAGATATATTGCTTATAAGCTAGGTTTATTTTTGATTTTAGTATTGAACGCGCATTTTTAAAGTTTTGGTAATTTATAGCAGATTTTTGTTTTTTGTACCGCTTATGGTAGTAGTTTTTAAGTTTTAGAATTTCCTTTATTTCAATGGTATACCAATGTGGGTGTTTTTTGTTTGATGTTTTATATGTAGGGACGTTTTTATCAAGAAATGAATATATTTTTGAATAAAATTTATCACATGCTGCATTAATTTCTGTTTCGTTATTTAAAAAATTCCAGTCTGCCTGTAAGAAATCGTTATACAATTGAACAAAATTAGCCCTTTTATAATTGTTAGTCTTGGCTTGATTAATATTTACAGTAAACTCATGAACAGTGCTGGCTTTAAGAGATATAGATATGTTTAATGCTGGATGATGCAAATTTTCAGGAACGAATGGTACATCATGAGTAACACATATTTCATTTACATTACTACAAACTAGATCTAGAGTTCTGTTATAGTTATTTAGGATATCATTAAATTGTTTATAATTATTAAAGTTTATAAAGTCATTAAATAAGTTTAATTTTGAATTAGAATTTACATTAAAATCACCGACAATAATAGTTTCCTCATTAAGGTTAGACAATAGATTGCTAAGTTCATCAAGAAAAAATTCAAAGCTATTAACAGACATATCAGGTACAATATATACAATAAATAAATAAGTTATTACAGAATTGATTTTAACTCTACAACCAATTATATCAAGTATAGGTTTTTCATTTGTTATATTGGTTAGATCTAATTCGGTTACATTAATTTATTCTTTGCAGGCAAATAACACACCTCCTCCACGTGTAAGATTATTTAAATTATCACAGTTTAAATTAGTAACATTGTATTTATCTTTAAATACTAACAATACTCCTCCACCTTTAGATTTTTGAGTCCGGATCAGATCTCTATCACTTCTATAAACCAAATAACTATTAGGAAATATTTCACTGCTCAACACATCACTAGTTAGCCAAGTTTCTACAAATGCAATACAGTCGTAATCCAAATCAGAAACAGCAGAAAACACCAAATCAGTTTTTGAGTTGAGACCTCTCACATTTTGAAAACATATAGTAAATGCGGATGTTCTGTTGGGCGTTGCTAGTTTAAATTCACAATTTGTGGAGTTCCATGAATATATTTTATCTTTATATTAGACTCGCCCTTATCAGTCCTTAATTTTAATTCGTCTTTAACTTTTTTGTATTGATCCTGTTGTCTGGGAGTTTTATCAAAGGAAATGGACAGGTTTTTAAAGCGATTACTCTTCTTTAACTTATTAGCATTACGAATTAATAAATGTGGCGTATCATTGGAAGTAAAACAAATTTTAATTGGTCTAGGGGAGGTTTTATTGGGATCCAACTTTCCAAGTCTAAACTTTTGACGAATTCCAATATCATTGTTCGGTATTAAATGATTAACAATATTATTTACACTGTGGTTATCTTCTTCATGACGTTCATTAGCAGATTTATTGAAATCTTCATTTAGGCCGAATATAATAATATTACCTTTTCGAGAATTCCGATTTTCAATTTCGCTTATTACTTCATCAATAGTAAAAGTAGAAGTTTGCGAAGTAGCTGGTAATAAATTGTTTTTAAGGGTTTCAATTTCTTTTTGTAAAGAAATTATAAGCGATTTTAATTCCATAATATTAGCGTTACTCTCAGTTGAACACAATGTACAGGTCCAGTTAAGATTTTTCTTATTTTAGTTAATTTCCGCTACAGTAAGACCAACTCATTTATGTAAGTAGATTTCTTTACACATAAAGCACGATACGGTCTTTTGATCATCGGCAGATTTATTACAGCAAACGCAATTTGACATTTTTCGTTGTAGTACAAAAACTTAACAGTGGCAACGTCGCAACACAAACCGTTTCTGAATATAACCTTCGATAGATGGTGTTTTTAAGCTTTAATTCAATGTTTTTTTATTTAATAACTATTGCTACTTGTTAAAACAAGTGAAAACGTTAACTTACAGAGATATAATTAGAATATTTTACGCCAAAAACCATGTAAAACAAAAGCAATTTAATCACTACGTATGCACGGTTTACACGATACATTGCATTATAATAAAATATGTTAAAGTAAAATGTAAATATTAAAATGGTTGACATAAAATAATGATTATAATAAATAATTAATTAAGTTTGTCCATCCAAAACCCAAAATAAACTTCTTTCACAAAGAAGAAAATAATATAAACAAATAAAATATAGTTTAAATTAAATATTAATTAATTAACCACTTATTATGATATTTGTGACTTTAAGTTATTATAATTAATTATAGAAAAGACATACCTATTAAATAAACAACACTTTCACAAAAACTGAATTTATATAAAATCAATCCATTAAAGAATTCGAACTACTCTCTTCAAACGGCAAAACGTAACTCCCCTTTTTCAGAATACCGAGCTTTCTTCCCTTCCCAAAATTTTTTTTAAAAGTCAAAACAAAGTCTATCGATATAGTTCATTTGGAGCATAACCGACCAATCTATATATATCGATACCACTCAGACATACGTGTGGATTTGGCATGTCTCCCGAGTGCATCATAAAATTCTTAAAGACAGGTCTACCATTAGAGCTCTTTTGATTTCTTTAAAATATCCCCCTAACTAAACCAGACTATACACTATTCTGGTAAGTTGCTGACGTCTCTATCTCTTAAAATGCTTAGGTTAAAATATGGCCCTAATAAATTATTTAATATAAACAGAATGGGTCTAAATATTAAATTACTAATGCACACTTAATACAATTTTAAAGTAAATATTTAAAATTTAAACTAGGATTTTGTAAAGCTTAAAATAAATTAAGAAATGTTAAAAATTAACTGCCCCATATATCGTGCCCATTACAATATGATCGAGTATACAGAACTTGGTTTTCTGTATTTGTATTGCAAATTTGGCGAGCATCTATCAAAAAAAGTGCGAAATATACATTGAAGAATAATTTCTAAAGTGTCTAAACTGCAACACATGTATAGAACTAAATGCGCACATGTTGATAAAATTGATTATTCTTTTTAAACATAAGAAACTGGACCCTAAAATGTTTTACCTGCCAGACATGTGAAAAACAGTTCCGAATGGCAAGATCCATGACCTCAACTTATTCGACTGTGATAAATTTTAGCATAAAAGACTTTATAAAGATGATATACTTCAAGATATAAATAATTTAGACATCAAAAAGTGTGTGGAAAACGCCCTGGCGGATGCAATAAATGAAACAGAAGAAGTCGGTCTCTTGGCGAATAGAAATGACATTTTTGTTGATTTGCCATTTAAATCAGCCGAAGAACCCTCGGAAGAACCAACACATATTGACCCTGAATTTGAAAGTGAAAACGAACTATTTGCTGATGATAGCATCATTGAATAGCTGGGTACATACGAGAAAACTTATAACGTTTTACCAACTACCGAAAAAACTACCAATACATTAGATTTGAAAGATTTTTCTGGCAAAATTAAGGAAAATAATTTAAATGAAATTTGTCCATATCTCAAAATTAAAATAGATAACAAGTATGCCATAATAAAAAAATCAGCTTACTGCTGGTTACTTTACGAATCTGCAGGAAGGGTAAGCAATGATAGGTTACGACGCTTTTTGTCAAACAGTAAGGAAAGTAGAAAAAGAACTCAACACCTTAATTCAGAGAAATTTTCAAAGAAAAAAAACAAGTTGTGAAGAGAGTTGCGATGAAGACCTCTTAGAAACTAACGATTCAACGGATATTGAAAGTCTCAATAGTGATACAAATCTCAACCTGCCTGTTTGTGAGTTTAAGTTAGAACCGTTAGAGCATTATTATGCAGTAATATATGAACATTAGTGGTATGTAGGGCGAGTTATTGAAAAAATTTCAGAAGAAACATATAAACTGAAATTTTTAAAACAAGAATTGCAAACTTATGTTTGGCCGAAAACAGAAGATATTGACGTTGTTAATTCTAAATATATATTTTATGGGCCAATATTATTACTAGGTAATGATCCTTTGACTATTCGTAGATTTGAGGTATTTAAAAATTTTAAAAGAATATAAATCTACCAAACAAACACTTTTTAAAAGATAATAAATTATAAATTCTGATAAATGTACCATTTTTATGTTTGATAACAAATTCTTCTTATTGTTTGTTGTTTTTGCGTTGTTTTGTTTTTATTTACTGTAAAAAGTATTGTTTTTATTTTTATTTTTTAAGAAAGTGTTAATAATAAATATACCATTTTAAAAATAAAAATGGCATTTTTATGGAACATAAATATTTTTATAATTTGTTGTTTTTGCATTAAGTTTTGTTTTTGTTTACCTTAAAAAATGTGCTTTTTATTTTTATTTTCTAATAAATCGATATAAATGTATAGTTTTTATGTTTGACACAAGATCCTTCTTATTATTTGTTTTGACTTGATTTTTAATGAGCGTGTGCACGAATTTTATGTATTTATGAAAAAGAGTACGGCTTAAATAAAAATAATTCGTTAAAATTATTGGTTTAACTCTTTTAATAACTTCACAATTAATTTTGGCCTCCCCCATTTTTTCTTCTTGATGCAAAATAAAAAATATGACGTTAAAGGATTTGGGTCTTACAGTACGTTTACGCTCAAACATATAATATTATAAGTTTAAATGTAAACGTACCATAAGACCCAGATCCTTTTACGTCAATTTTTTTATTTTTTCATCGAGAAGAAAAAATGGGTGGGCTAAAATTAATTTTGAAGATATTAATATTTTTTATAATATTTATGTCAGAGACATTTTAGCTCATTTTTAGTCTTTTTGTAATCTTTGCAGTCTTCTGTAATCTGTGTAATCTTTGTAGTCTTTATGTAATCTTTGCAGTCTTTTGTAATCTGTGTAATCACTATGTAATCACTTTATAATCTATGTAATCTTGATAGTTTTTGTAATCAGTGTACAAGGTTTAGACCGCGGTTTACCCCTCGCTTATGATTGAATCCTGCACACTTATAAAATCTTCTTACATTATAATATTCTTTCATAGAGCATACTTTCCATCCTACCTTAATTTTTTCCATTTTTTCAATATTTTTTGCAGCATCTGGTTCCACTTCCATAACAATATTATTGTAATCATTTTTATTTTTTACTGACCATTTCGTTAATATTTTTATTTTTCCTTCACTATTTATTAGTTCGTTTTGTTCAACTATAGATTTAGATATCCTCATTACTGCTTTTTGCAATGTCATTCTCTATTCCTTTAACTATTATTTTTACACTTTTTGTGTCTGCCTCTAATACTTTGTAGTTTTCTCCTAACTTTTCTTCCACCTTATTTTTGATTTTTTCTTTTGATTGTGTATCAGAACATTTTATTATTACTGCTCCATTTTTGCTTCCCTATATATTTTCAATACCTACTGCTAATTTAGTAGGATTTATGTTTAATTTTATTTTATTTTTGGTCTCATTAGTTGTTTGTTCATTATTATTTGGTTTTACGACTAAAAATTAATGTTGTTTATTATTTATCATTTCAGCATAAGAGTATTTGTTACTTGTATGATTTTTGTTATTAACTAACTCTTTTAAAGTTTCTTCATGCTTCCTTAGGTAAGTACTTTGTTCTTCAATTCTATTTAAACAACGTTGGGTGATTTTCTTTAAGGAGTTAAGTTCTTCTACGAGATTAGGTATGTTACACCCTCTACATACATATTTAATAACGTATTTTGTATTAATTATCATGTATTATTCATCACTTATTCCAGCACATTTATTATGACATGATTCTTTACATACTATGCATTTTAGTGTGTTTTTTTCTATCCTTTTAAAGTCAATCTTGCAAATTTAATATTTATATTAATGACATTGTTGACAATATTAAGCATAGTAACATCCTTCTTTTTGCTGATGATGTTAAACTTTTTTGTGAGATAAGATCAGTGGAGGATTGTCGTCGTTTGCAGGCCGACCTACACGAGCTGGAGCTTTGGTGTGACACTAATCTAATGGATTTGAATATTGCAAAATGTAAGGTTGTAAATTTTACCAGGAAATTTTCACCTGTTTTGTTTGACTATAAAATTGGTGACACTACTTTAGAAGTTGTCAGTAATATAAAGGATTTGGGCATTACCATTGATAAAACTTACTTTTAGAGATCACATATCTTTATCGGCCAGCAGAGGGTTGCGCATGTTGGGGTTTGTAAAGAGACAATTGAGAGATTTCAATGATATTAATTGTTTTAAAAGTGTATTTGTTTCTTTAGTTAGGTCAATTTTAGAGTACAATACTATTGTGTGGTCTCCTTATTGTGATAGTCATATACATTGTATATAACGGGTGCAGAATAAATTCTTGCATTTTTGTGGTTTCAAATTAGGATTAAATGTTGATGAATTAAATTATTGTGATATTAGGTCTAGGATGAATTTACAATCGTTACAATTAAGAAGAAATGAAATAGATTTATGTTATTTATTCAAAATTTTAAACAATCATATTAACTGTATTAATATTGTTAGCAGTATAAGTTTTAATATACCCCTAAGAATGAATAGGCATGTTCCGCTATTCCATATAAGGCAACATTCTACTAATTATGGCTATTTTTCCCCATTTGATAGAATGTGCAGAAGTGCTAATAGCTTGGACATAAATTTTTTTAACATACCACTTAGGACTTTTAAAAGGGAATTGAGACTGATGCTTATCCACTAATATGTGATTTTTGTACCTATTGTTGTGATATTTGTTTTGCCTTCTTGTTTTTTTTATTAGAGTTTTTATGACTTTCATAATATTGTATTGTATTGTATTTATATTGTGGCAATTTGCTGTTAATAAACATTATTATTATTATTATTATTTTTATTATTATTATTATTATTATTATTATTATTATTAAATATTGCAGGTTATGTTTACCATATTTGTTGTTGTGCATTTGCACTGCCCACTAAAGTAGTTCAAGCGTCCTGACACTTAGCTTGTAACTAATGTCACTCTTAATCTACGATTTCTTATTCCGTTTATCACTATGTTATCTAAAGTTTTTCACTATTACTGTTTACTTAATCACATTTTTATTCACCTTCCAGTTTTAATATATCAATATTTTTACTAATAATTAAAACTTTTTAGCACGTGTTCGCAATATATGTTTACTCAGTACTGCCAACCACTATGAATAGTAGCAAAAGATTAGACAAAGAGTGTGTTAGGGGGCCGAGGATGGCGCAGTGGGTTAAAGCTACAGAGCGGTAATCAATCTGCGCCACGTTACCGGGTTCGATTTCCGGTCACACCCTTGGGTGTTTTTTTAAGAGCACAAAAATATATAATAATGAGCTGGCTAAATAGTCGAAAAGACTAAAAGCCAATAAACCTTAAAAAAAAGAGTGTGTTAGCAAGCATAGGGCGAAATTGGTTCTAGTTATTTTACCACAAACATGTTCGATATGATGATCAGTCAGTTGAGAATCTACCATTGTACCGAGAATCTTGAGGTTATTGGAAATATCTATGATAATTTCAGCTGAAAAATAAATATATTCTTTTATGTCCATGTTAATCATAAGGTGGCTTTTAGCGCACCAATGCCTAAAGCTTACTATAACTTGGTCAGCTAGTAACCCAAGTTTAGCCACGTCAGTTTCTGAGACCTTTATTAATTTGTCGTTAGCATACATAGAAGAAATTAAATGACCTTATAGATTCAATACAGCGATGCAAATATCATTAAAATTACGGAACGGAACTTTTTCAGCAAAAAGAACTGTTGGTCTTTCCAACCTTACTGCAATTTGTTCAAATACAGCAATTGTAAATTGTGTCGTACTTGGATGGTTATTGCCTTAAGTACTCCACCAAGGTTCCTCTCCGGTTGACTCTCCAGATAAAGAGGAATACCTACCTCGCGAGGTTGCTTTCATTCAGTAGAGAAAGTAATAATAATAATAATAATAATAATAATAATAATAATAATAATAATAATAATATTCTTTATTGTATATAAATAAATGTTACATACAAATGGAGGACGGTTAGGTTTCCCTTTCTTCCACCGTCTCCGAAATTATAATAGTTAGCAATTACAAAACTTTTAATAGTATTATTTATAGCTATAGAATAAACATGCACACCGTAAGTTGAACAAAATTGAGTTTTTTAGAAAATTAAATGTAAAGAGAAAGTACCTATACAATACTAAATATAAAGAAATTAAAGATATACGAGAATAAATTGTACCAACAAAAGGAAAATTATTAAACTATTAGCATTTAAAATAAACAAGGACCTATTGTAGATTTAAATAAAAAGTTTTAGTAAAAATTAAAAAGCTCTTCTCACCCAATTCAATGTTCAAAAGAACCCTGTTCAATAGTTTTGA